AAAAAAAAAAAAATTGTTTGTTACTTATAAATAAATTTATTGGTCTACAAAGAATTTTCATCGGAGACCAAAATATACTTTTCTAAGTCCATTTAATGCCTATTTTAAATCTGCTATTAAAGTTTCGCATATGGCCTAAATAATAACAAAATCCTTCTAATTAATATAACAAATATTTTGTTTGATAATTATGTTACGTGAATAATCAATAAATATATCTTATTATATATCAGAACAAGGAAAAAACACTTTTTTGGGAAAATTACTAAGTGTGCTCGGATTTTCAAAACATTTTTTTTCAACAAAAGTACTGGGTCACCAAACTACGGGAAAATTATTGGGGAAGGTCAGAAATTTTTGCCACTCACCCGCTAGCATTTTANCAGAAATTTTTGCCGCTCAACCGCTAGCGTTTTAAAATTTCGACCGTTTTCGAGAAAAACGTTCGTTGACGTTTTAAAACTTAAGGTTTGAAATTTTCACCAGACCCGCCCAATGACATTCCTGAGATATGATAAAAAAATCAATTCAATCCGTTCCTTTTTCACCGTTTTATGAGCTTTTTTTTCTTTTTTTTTTAAGTCCACGCGCATGGTTTTAATATGCGCATTGATTCATTTCTGCTCATACGTTTACTATGAACCTTAATTATATGATGTAATTTATTAGGACACCATTTTGCATTTGCACATAGCACTATATTTTATCGAGGAATATTATATGTTATATATAAATATCAATACGGTTATAATTATATAAGTTTGTACTTTCATTATCAGAACAGAACATTATTAATAATCTTTTTTTTCTCATATATGGTATATGTGTTTGTCAACTCATAAAGGTATATAAAGTTTATCATTTAAATTGGGATTATCTATGACAACTATGCTCCCTAACGTTAAATCACAGTTACCAATATTTTTATCAAAATTAAATTTTTGACATAGTCCCACGTATAATAACTTGCTGAATTATTTTGTAATTATTCTATCATATAAACACAATTATCATAATTAGATTATTAATAATTTTTGTGTATACCAAGAGTGTATTTAAGGGAGATATTGGCCTCCCTTGAACTAGCGATATCAATATTTTTTTAGGCATTTTTTATGGNCCAGCGATATCAATATTTTTTTAGGCATTTTCTATGAAATAAGGATAATAAAATAATGTCCTTTTGTTTGATCATCACTTTGATTTTTAACAAAAAAATGTTAGAGCATGTTTAACAAAGTAAAAAAATATTAATTACCCTCCTAAATTAATTTTTGAATACGCCTAAAGGGAATACTCCATTAATAAACGTCAACGTTATACCCAATACATTTTACTATATTCTCTTTTTGAATTTTCCTGATTTTATTTAATAATAACAATTTTAATATATTTTTGTTATACTGATTTTGATGTAATATTTTTTCTGCAAAACACTCGTAGAGCTCCGGGTCTAGGACGGAACTCCATCTAGGCGGAGCCTAGTTTTAATTTTAAAAAAATGTAACAGGCAGAATTTATTATGTACAGTATATTAATATGCATAATAATTTAAATACCAAGAATTGAATAGAAATACTTACTAACACTTCTATTTATATGATTTATTACAATTAAATGTTTCTATCAAAATATTGAGTTTTCCTTATAAATTTACTGTTAATAGTAATTATATAAGTTTCTAATCACATATCAATCTAAAAAAAATACTATATTTTATTCCACGTAAAATTTTATATTTAATAATATAAATCTAAACTTGCAAGTTTAGCTAAATTTTGTTTAAAAATTCAACATTTTTAAATTACAAACTATTATAAAAATTAATTTTAAAGGATCAAAAAAATAATTTAAAAATGTCGTTTTGAATTGAATTTTTGCACAGATTATTTTTAACATATAAAAAAACAATAATAATAACTTGATAACATTTTTTTTTTTTAATTAATGTTTTCGTTACTTATGAATAAATACACTGGACTACAAGGAACTTTCATCAGAAGCAGAAATATACTTATCTAAATCAAATTTTTACGCTGTTTTCAAATCTGCAATTAGAAATTTTACTAATTTTTAAAAAATGAGTATTTAAATTATATAAATAAATAATTAAAACAAACAAAAAAATTGGATTAAAATTATTACTGATTTTGATTATTAATATGTTAAAAATAATTATAGCAAAATATCATTTTTAACCTATTTTTTTGGTTCTTCATGAAAGTTTATAATAAAAAAAGTTGAATTTGTTACCATAACTTTTAGTTTAACTTACAAGTTTTAAATTGAAATCATTAAATAGAAAATTTATGAGAATTAAAAAAATTATATTGTTAAGATTAATATGCGTTATATATTAATATTCCGGAAATACTGCGTCCTTTAAACATATATCAAATAAAACCTTATTTTATGTACTAAAAAATGAAAAAAAAAAATTTGTCCCGACACTTTATCTTCTGCATGTTGTTATGAATACTTAACTTAGTTTTAATATTGTCCCACAATTGTAATAACAGATAATCATAAATTGAATTGTAATTGAGGTCGGCCTAAAAGAATGTGTCTATAAAGTATTTTTCGGTGTTGCAAAACCGGGAAGTGGGCCGACTGCGACGATTGTAATGCAGAGCATCGTCAGTCATTTGACAATTATTGTATGAATACTATCACTTTTATTTTTAATAAACTAATTAATTATTCGGCAATACTATTTTATTTTATTCTATTTGTTACTCTCGTAACATTAATTTTGTTGGCAGCGGTGGGATCCGAAGAGACTGGTGCCGAAAAAGAATAATTAAAATTTTTATCATAAAAGTTACTAAGTACGCAAACAATAGTCAAAT